ACGAGGAACACGCTTAAGTGCGCAGAGATTATGCAGCGAGATTTTGTTTCCTCCAGATCTCGCGCACTCCCTTTCCCTGGGTGCCCCCGATCCTGGCGCCTGGAAAAGACGTAACATGGAGCCACATATGCGGTACGACGAGTACAGCATCAGCTAGGAATAGCTAGAACAGAACGCCCGCTGTCATTTGCCTTGTACAGTAAAGAGAGAGCCGACGATCTGGCTACCGTCTTTTTGTCTTCCCAGTATTGTTACCCAAACAACCACAGCCTTTCGAAGCTCGGGGATCTCATGGTTCACAACGTTACATCTTCCTGAGGCCTCTACAGACCAAATGCTATTACCCTGAAATATATTAGGAGACATGGATATGCCTTGTGCTCTCGGCCTATGGCTGCTAGCATTCATCTTGACCGTGTCATTGACGACGGAGATCGTATGACTTATTATTAATGCGACAGGGGAAAACGTGGCCGACTAGGGAACGCAGCCATCTCGTCGGGATCTCCTCAACGGCTTTGTCTTTCGCTTCGTTCAGGAGGGTGAGATGGCAAGGTTGAGATGGCAAGGTTGAGACCAGACATCCTAACGTCTAATAGAAGATGTTTCGAGCCCTTGCAGTATCTGCTACGCCGAGACGCGATATATCACCTGGTCTGTATTGTTATTAATATCCTTACAGAAACGTGGTGTTCCAAGCCACCAGGTAGCTCAATTCCACGCGATTCTGACAGCTGATTTATAAACGTACCTTTCACATTATCATGGTTTCATCGATACTTCTTACAGCGTCGCTACAGATAATTTACTGCGCAATTCGCCTACCTGAGGTGCCGGGGCGGTCTTTCTCAAGCTATCTAATGTCATTATCGGTAACATAAAGTCTACCGCTTTTCAGATACATACATCATCATTCCCGTTTCCCCTAACCAATTCGATGGCACATATGCTTCGTTGAAATATATCTACGTGCTAGAGATAAGTGAAGACAACATATTAACACATCCCACGATCAGAAGTCTGTGACTGCCAAGTCACTTTCACTTCGTCTACCTGATTCTTGTGTATTTTAACAGAATTCGGTGCTAAATGTTGCACGTGTATTGGTCACAGATATGGGATCAGTACAGCATCATGTTAATATCAACTGCATGGATCCACGGGCCAGCTCTAAATATGCAACGCAGGTGTCATCAGATTCTTACGCCTATACCCCTTTTCCCGTCGCCGCCAACGTCACCTCGTAACTAACCAGCGGCGGGTTCTGGTTTCCTACTTTAGCTTCTACATTAAGATGGTTCGGTTGCAACTTCGATGACATCTAACCCGACCTAGAATATTAGTGCACCCGTGGTGAACGCAGCTATCCGTTCCTAGGTACCTCATCTCCGTGTGTGCCTCGATCCTGCAGCAATGCGTGCGCTCCGACCTGGACGAATTTTACGCCCGTAAAACAGATGTGCATGACCTGCAGTGTAATAAACAGATGAGCTTATGCTTTGTTTTTCTGTCGGCTTGTGGCGCCTAACATTTTGGCCTTTGGGATGCGCATAGTGAGCGACTTCGTGGAACAGCATCGATATGACGTACAGCTACATTGTTATAGACGGGATACATAGAGAACACGGTTAGTTAGACAATAAGTATTTTGTTCGTTAAATAATAATAATTGAAGCCTTTACAATACCAATCTTGCGAGGAGAGCTTAGTTATATCAGCTCAGCTAGAGGATCTTCATTCGACATGGAGGTTTATTACTGTACTCTTGTTAACGATAACAACTAGAAAAAGTCACCTTAATTTGGTACGCGCCCGAGAATGATGCATTCAGCCGGCCTAAGTGCCAGCCATAATAAAAAGATATTTCGACTTAGCCTAGAGGCTGGTTGTCCGAGCATTGGATCATACGGCCTAACTGCCGCTGTGGGTATAAAGATTTGTGTTACTCTCTAGCCTAACCTTTTCAGGATCCAGTAGGAGAGAGTAAACTATACCGGGTCTTCCTAGTCTAAAGTAGCTATCTGGCAAGGGTTTAAAAATGGAGGGAAGATGTGTGATCTGATATTACTTTACGTGGAACTGTTACCAAACTCCTGGGACCCAACAACCTGTAACAACTTGTCGATTTCTATTACATGCAGCCTTCCGTCGCCCCACCGGTCTTATGATTACAGTAAGTACTAGAAAGTTGATGAGTTGGTTTCTTGTAATTTATAAGCCGGTTTCTGAAGCGGCAGTGCTCGTTTGTTGCGTATTTCAAGAAAGGGGGGCCGGCCACGTAGAAAACAAGGCCGGGCTTTGAGGTAGATGTGTACAGAGCTACTACGCCAAAGAACCTGGCTAGGAAAGCTGTTCGCCTTTAGAGGTTGGGGTAAGTTATTCTGCATCGTCGGGATACGTAAAGAGCTATTGTCTCAGTGTCCCATGAACGAGCCGCACGTGGGTTTTGTGCTCACCACCATCATTTCGGGCGCAGGTCAGATAGGCAGGTAGGTACCTAATGTTTGCCAACATAGTACGTTTTTATTTACTCATTCCGGGTAGTGAGGACCTCGTTCAAGTTTTGGGCTACGTCCGGACGCATAGTCACATTATCCGGTTCAGCCACAAGCGATGGATTTCAAGGCTCGCGCGTAGAAGAGGAATGGATGGATATAGACTACCTAATATCTGCGAGATATTTTGTCCATCGTATGTTTCCCATATCTGTAAGTACCCGCTTCCTAGACTCCCAGGTTGCCAAGAAATCTAGTATTAGATGTATCTGATCTTGAGCAACGAGCATCCATCTATTTGAATTCACCAGTCATACTCGGTACTCATAGACATCAAATCTTGTTTTACGTTTCTATAGCACTTATTTTAACGTTAAAAATAACATCTTAATGGTTTAAGAACACGGGTGAAAGCGAAAGCTGGCGTTTGGCTCAAAGCAGCAATATCTTAACTACCTAAGGTACCTAGCCCTTTTTTAGCCAACATTTACAATCACACGGTTGCATATAATTAAGCGAAAGAGCTGCAGCTGGCCCCCAGTGTACAAAGACTTTACAGGGAAACCCCGAGCAGGTCTAAAAATTGGCTCGCTTAGCAGCTCTCGGTGAGTCCCTTTGCTTCTTCTACCCGGAGTAGCCCCCCTCAACCTTGGATGCTCCCAAATCTACTCGGAGATGAATTAATCCATTGAAATCTAATCACCGCTCTTTCCATACTGAAGAGAGAATCCTCAGGGAAGTATTGGCTATGCTCCTATGATGGTGGCTTCGATCTTCATGCCATCCGGAACGCCATCCACCACTAGAAGGAACCAGCCGCCTCTCTTTTTCCCCATCTTGCAAATGCGCTATACCCGGAAATAAAGCGTTCTAGACTAATCTCATTATGATAAACCGGAACGAAGATATCCGTATGCAACACTACAGCCGTGAATTTATCTGGGCTTCAAAGTCTTTGTGTTATGTATACTTGATTGCTTACAAGAATCCATAATATAGGCCTCTTTCACATGAGAGAGTAACCGATAAAACACAGCATACTCCTAGTAGCTCTCATACTGTGGTTTTTATTACATGTTGCTTCTTTCTTCAAGGCTGAGTCATCAGCTTCTAGATTAATAGGTAAATATCTACCCGTGCCGGCTTGAGATTACCCAAAACATTCGACGCTCGTCTGTAAAGTGGTAATATACCTAAGTCAGTAGCCTCTCCTAGGTTTATGCCTCGCTGTGAGCCCTGCGTCAACTTCTACATACGCCAGTTTCCTGTGATTACTTCATGAGGCACCCCGTATCCCCAGAGGCTGTATAGTTGAAGCATATTCCTTTATACTGCTAACACAACTATAATAGTAGAGGCAGCAGATCTGCAATTGATACCCAACTAAGTATTTGATTTTGATGTAAGCTTCCATTCAAGGGGGAGAGAGCGGACAGGGATGCTCGATTAAACCAAGATCACGGCGATCCCGATGGAGCAAAATTTAGATATATAACTTCGCTTGGTAAGCTTATAGTCACTACTGACTAATTGCAATGCTTTTTACACGCATGTACCGAGATGTACTTGTGTTGGACAGGTGTAGGTGGTCAAGGTGAATCGTGATAAGCCTAAGACCTCAAAATAGGGCATCGTGAATAAAGAAGGCATTAACGGTAGGAATGTGTTTTGAAAATATGGCTTATATGCTTTAATACCTCTTAGCTCTTGTAGTACTATAGGAGTAGGGTGATTATCACCAGTGGCCGGGCTATTGCGGATATGGAGGGCGACGAAGGCTGAATATAACTTATCAAAGCTCGGAAGAAGTCATGTGTAATATATTTGCTTATGACAGGTACTTACTCGAATAGCACTGAGCTTGGACTTAATATGATCTCGAGGAACATTTGGATACAAACTAGTCTATATATACGGCTTTTGTTATTATCTTTTAACACGTCCTTACACCTCTATTGTCCTTCGCCTAATGCCTTTCCTACGAGCCCAGAGTCATAAATTCTGATATCCCTTCAGCAAAATATCTTCATCCTGACCTACACCAGTCACCCGTGGGCCGACGTGGTTTGAGTTAACACTAGATTTCGTGGTGGAATATGATAATGTTGGGAGAGATGGGGGAGGGGGGGTTCATCTAAGCTGATGGCTTTGGGAAAGTTAAAAATTAGTTCACATTACTCCCCTTTACAAATCTTCACATAATCCATTAACTACCAAGTATATGAGAGACAAGAGCAATTGTTCTATAAAGCTGGGAAGTGAGGCCGAATTCAGCAACCCTTCTGCTATCCTTTAGGTTAGTTGAGGCCTCGTGAATATGAATTAACAGCCATGTTTAAAAGCCTCGGGATAGACTCAACGGTACTGTCGGTTGCTGAACTAGGTCTGCCAGATATGGGCTTCACATTCTGCAGGTATAAATCCAATACGTAACTTTAGTTAATAGGGGGACCCCGAATTCGTCACAAGATGTAGGAAACGACTTAGTATAGATACCTTAGGTAGGTATCTATACAGGAGATCAATGGAATTATAAGCATTTAGGTACGTATTATTATGAAGGTTGTTTAGAGACGATATTGTACCGTGATTGTAGGCCCTCTAGTACATTGCGGATTTAGTTTATTTTTATTTTTATATCTGCTTTGCCTCAACTATCTTAAGCTGCGGTTAAGATGTGGTACTGGATAATGGATGTACAGATTAGAGAAGGGCAGTCTGGATTATTTCTCTTGTCTCCCTGGTTAATTTCGTGTCTCTACCCAGCCCGTGAAAACATTCCAGAGAGCTTCCAAGTAGCCGCCCGGCCTTTAGATCCATTTGGTCTCATGCGACAACACTAAAGCCGAAAGAACCATCGAAAACATCGATATCTTCTGGTTCCCTTCCACCTCGCATGGCCTGGAGCATATCTAACTCGGGGACGTTGTTAGGAGGGTAGAATTTTAGAAGGTTATCAATGTCTTCGTCGGTAAGTCCACACATTTCATTCCAACTATAAGCATCGCTAACCCTCGTCATCCAACGCATCCTCTTGGGACCTTCATCAGGGCCTGGGGCTATCTGACGTAGCTTAGCGCGTAGTGCGCCGATCCTCTCGATAGCATCACCAATGTTTGAGGGCAACTGGCTCCCGATCCACTTCCTAATACTAGCAGCGAGTCTCGGTCCCTTTCCGTTGGTGCTAACCATGATCTGCAAGGGTCCATCACGATGTACGCTCCCAAAATAGAAATCGCATTCGGGCGGGACATCAGCAATGTTAGCCGGAATACGATACTCTTTGCATAACTTCCAGATTTGGGTTGAAGCAGCAGGATCGTCGATGGCGACAAGTACCATGTCGGGATGACTGTTATTTGGAGGTAACGTCTCTAGATCTGAAGGCTGGAATACGCGATCGATATAAGTGACCTCGCCGTTGTCGATACGATGCCGTACTTCGGGATTGAGACCGGAAGAAGGGCTTACGACGGTAACATTGGCATCGGCGTTGAGAACGTTAAGGATGCGGCCAGCCGCCACCTAAGCGGGGAGATGTCAGTTAGGGTATCTTTTGAGGAGAGAATTCTTCAAGAGTTGATGGGAATTCCGGTATACAATCTTACCTCGCCGCCCCCAATCACCAGAACATGTTTGTTCTTGACCTGCCAGGCTAGAATCAAACTGCCACCGCCCTGGACTAGAGGGAATCTGTCCTGGCTATTATTCGCCATTCTATCATTCAACTAGATTCGAGCTCCAGCAAGTTACTGCATGATCGTCATGTCAAGGATAATGAATAGGTAGGTTTGTGATGCTCAAAATATAGAGAAGGGAAGAAAAGGGGTTGCAGTAACTTAAAGCATGTTTGTTTTGATTTTAATTACCTATACGTGTTTCTCCGAAAAAGCTCGAATCGGAGAGTGAACGAATAATGAGCATGAAGAGTTTTGATACGTTGCGGTAAAAAAATAATAATCATGTAATGACGAAGAAGCTAGGATCCATTTATATTATGTCTCAAGTTACAGATAGGGAGGTACCTACATCCTACATATCACCTATAGATGTAGTACATCGAGGTAGTGGAACATTCAATGTTGTACGTTATTTTAGGTATGTACACTACTAATATACGTCATATCGATAACTATGGGTATTATGTAATGCTCAATCAATTGATGTTATTAGGAGGCACACAGTACAATACATGTAACTACAGCTGATACGCTAAGCATTAAACATTGTGCTTGTACCACTTCCACGTCCCTGAGGTATGCCATGTACCTCCTAACATACATAAGCTTAGCGTTACTTTGCATCCTTCTGCCTTGCGCCGCAACTCTCCAACTACAAACTACCAACTACCAACTACCAACTACAATAAACATATCGAACCTACGACTACAAGCCGCGAATCGAGAGCCTCTATAAGCGATCTGATGGGCAGGTTGAGTTTGTTATTTTTACTACGAAATCCCATCTCCTCGGATTTAGATACCCATACCTGCGACTTGACGTCTTCTCGACATCCTCTCTCACAAGTTCCGACCGTGGTTGCGGAAATCCGGCGTCCTCATGGCTTTTCAAATACGGGAATTCTAGAAGAAGCCCAACATGTCCGGTCGGAGGCTTGGCGGAGGGAGGATACTTGGTAGCGGGAAGGGCTTGGCCCCTCCAGCGCCTCCAGCCATCCAAAGGGAGAGAGCTGCTAGCCCCTCCGCGCCGTCTGAAAGCACATTGTCCATCGGCTCTCCAGCTACATCTATCTCTCCCGGCATCCCTAGTCCCTTAGCTAGCTTTGCGCAGGATCTTACCTCCAACGTTAGTCTAGGAGGGCCGAGTACTGGCGGTCAGCCAGGCTCCAAGCTTGTATGCCCCATATGCGAGGAAGAGATGTTGACGCTGTTGCAATTAAATCGTCATATCGATGATGCCCATCAGGAGCTACCTGAATTCGAACAGGATGAAGTCAAATCTTGGATAGACAAACAAGTCCTGAAGGCTAAGAAATTTCAACCTCTCTCCCTTATCAACCAGAAGCTTCGTGGCCTCGAAGTCTTCGAGTCCAACGAATCGCTCCCACTCCCTGTCCCTACCACCAGTAGGGCAAACAGGCCCCCCATTCCCGATTCACCGCTAGATCCGGACGATATAATCACCAAAACCCATTGGCAGCGACAGGGTCTAAATGATCTATGCACCGACCCGGCTTGCGGGAAGAGATTGGGTGCCGTCAATGGCAATATAAACTGTAGACAATGCGGGAGACTATTCTGTGAGGAGCATACGATGTACCAGATGAAATTGTCAAGGTCGGCCTCGCACGAACCTGTGAGGGGTTACTGGTATCGTGTGTGTGAAACATGCTACAAGTCGAGGGAAGAATATAACGACCACAACGGGCTGATAAGGGACCACACACAAGAATTTTCAGCGATACGCAGGAAGAGAGTCGATAGGCAAACTCTAGAGATATCGCGATTAGAAAAGAGGCTTACCAAGCTGACTCAACTGCTCGCTCACTTACCTGAAGAGGCAGGGGTAAGCGGTGGTGCGGGCCTGCTATCTCCCTTAGCCGCACAGAGGAATCAGCGGAAGGCGATTGAACAATCGATTGTGACATGGGAGGACGACGGGAAGGTCCCGAAATGTCGGTTCTGCCAGCAGGAATTCTCCTGGACATTCAGAAGGCATCATTGTCGAATATGTGGGCAGGTAGTATGCGCAGATCCCCAGACCAATTGTTCATCCGAAGTAGGCCTGAGCGTCACAAATCCGTCTGTTCCTGTATCAGAAAAGCCGAGAGGGGAAAACTCTATAGGTATTGATATCCGCATGTGTCGTGATTGTAAGTCTACTATATTCTCAAAGCGGGACTTTATGGAATCTATTGTACACAAACCGCCTGACCAACGGGCATACGAGACGCTGAAGCAATTCGAACGGGGAATCCAGCTCATATTGCCTACTTTCCAGAAATCTCTCCTGCCGCTGCAGGATGAGAGTAACACACCAAGCCATGTGCAGATCCAAGAGGCGTCTAAACTCAGGAAGCGGCTTACCGATAGCTTTACTAAATACGACGCAGCAGCGCGACGAATCCGTGATATGAAAACGGACAGCCCAACACAACGGCAACTACAGAAAGCCATTCACCAAGCAGCCTCCGCATTTTTGCATATGCATATGCTACCGCTTAAGAATCTTCCACGGATGCTAAAACACAACAGCTCCAGCTCCAGTTCCGCTAAGAGCCGCCTGCTCGCCAATGGCCACGTGGCGAGCCCGCTACGGAACGGTAGTGACATGCTCGAGACAGCTAGCCAGACCAGTGAGGCTAGTACGGCAGTGTCTGCGTTGGAAACAGAAGAGAAAGAGCTGCGTGAGCGGTTGATCGTCTTAGAAGAGCAGAAATACATGGTACAAGCCATGATTAGCGGGGCGCACGGCGCGAGGCGGTTCGAGGAGGTTAGCGCCTTAACGCGGAACGTTGAGGAGCTAGAGACAGAAATCGAGGGCGTGAAAGGCAAGGTCACGGCCGTCGAAGAGAGGTGGCAAGGCCTGTACGCGAATGGCGGGCCTGGTCTAATATTGTGAAGTGTCATGCTTGAACTTGAATCAATCCTTATAATTTAGAAAGGAATCTATTAAGGTGTAATAACAGGGAGGAAGACCGCCGAGGAAGACCTAACACGAGGCCGGACGTGAAGGCATGGTTTCCTTACGGTGACGAATTTGAATTACTGCATGGCATCGGCATGGCGTTGGTTGGATAAAGGCTGCCTGGTATCTATCTACGAAGGCGCCGTTATTTTTAAAGGGACTTGGAATGCGAGCAAAACGTTACAAAAGTCTTCTATAGGGTTTTCATTATTTAAATCCACCCCGTGTCTACCTGCTGATAGTTTGACGTTTGGCATATGGTAAGGTGAATAACCTTACCGTTTAAACCTTCTGAAGCACATACATGATTGATGACGTTTCAAGACGGGCGATTAGCAGGCCTCTTTGGTGACTGCAGTATCGCGGACCGCAAGTATCGGAGCCGAATATCATTAGTCTCGGGCCATACCTTGGTAAGCTTATACTCGGCAAGTAGGAGGTCTGTCGAGCTCCACGGAAGTGCAACGTAGCGGTCTCCGTAGCGATCCGAGAACGCCTCATCCCAAGGGGTAAGCTCCTCGACGCGATATTGACCCAGCTCCTGTTTCAGCGCGTCAAACATGACTAAGGGCACCTGATCTAACATCTCCCCCGGCTGCGCATTCCGGTTCTGGGAGAATGATATCATATCTCGGAGAGCCTCATTAACACCTTGGAGAGCGATCCGATCGCCGCGAGCCATCTCAACACACACTCTTGAACGCCTGATGGTAGACGGTAGGGAAGGTGTTAGCTGCGGGTCGTAGGCCCATCCCAACTCATCCTCATCATCATCTGATAAGCCACCACCGTAAGGGGAAAATCCATCGCTGCTAGTGACGGGTATCTCCTCAAACGGGAGGTTGAAGCTACAGTTCTCGACGGAGAGACAGAGCACGTCGTCGACATGAACACGGACCAACCGGCGCTCCAATGGTTCCAGACGATCGGTTCGTCGCTTAAAACTAGAGCGATAACGCACAGGAAGCAGTTCCCGTAGCTGACCATCTGCCGCTCTCACAAATAGACCGCGACGAGGGCGAGTAAGTGTGATAGTAGCGGCCTCGGCTGGAGAGAGAGAACACACATCACGGGCTTCTCGACAAACGCGACGTAGCATCTCCCGAGCCTGCCATGCCGAAGGATCGTACTGGGAGACTGTTCCATCATCATCATCGATAGATAGACGTCTCAGGTCCAGGTACAGCCAAGAAGGGGAGGTACTTTGATTAGCACCGGGATGATCGTTAGGTATACAATGGACGTTGAAAAAGTTGATGCCAGGTGTGGGAAGAGCCATGTGCCAGATCTGATGCCGTAACTCTGGCGGTAACTCCTGGAATTTAGAGAAGAGGATATGTGAAACAGATGTTTCCGATGACTCGGAGTCTAGCGAACTCGTAGATGAACTCATAAGTGAACTTGTAGATGTATTGGGTTGATCGTATAGGTGATCATTCTAAATCAATGCCATTGGTTCAGCATCCGAAGTACTTTATAGTTCGGAATCGACTAAATTAAGCTTCGAATCGAATGTATGGGTTCTCTTGCCGCAAGCAATTACTACGTACCAGGTAGCTTTGTGAAGTTGTAATATTTTGGAAGTTAGAATATTATGTAGGTAACAAAAGGCGAGAGAATATTAAGAGACATTATAGGTATACATGTATATAAGGCTAAGCCAATGACATCGAAGCTAAAGTTTAAAAAGGGACATACCCCGCATTAAGCTACAGGTAGGTAGGTACATTAGCGTAAGGTACAAGTTATAGTGTACCTGTACGCAAATACATTTAGGTTACGGCAGCAACATCTTTAGAATTTAAACCTGGAAACAACTTCAATTATCCCGCAATTCAGATTCAGCCTTAACAATATCCAATATCAGCTTCGTCTACATTTACGTTTACCTACGCGCCAATTAGTTCAATATTTTCAACTATCTTGTCATTGTAAAATCCGAGTTAGCATCAGCTCTATTTGGACGCGACAATCACGACGAACGCGCTAGCTTGCATCGTTACTCGCCATCACATTTACAATATAAGAGTCTATATCGAACAAATAAAACATCCAATGCCGCCCCGAAAACGAAAGAATAAAGAAACAGTAGGGCCCGCCGCGGAACCTGCCTCTCCATCGCCAGATCCAGACCCAGAGCGCTCCCCTCCAGGATCCGATGCGTCGCCCGCGTCGCCAAGTGCCGACTTGTCCCACAACGATTCGGAGCCGCCACGCTTCTTCAACACCACCTTTACTACGTATCGCGTATCGCCTCTTTACGTCGGCAAGCAAAAACTAACGCCTGTGCGCCTACAACTCCTATCTAAGCGCCTACGAGACGCTCTTGTCGGTGATGTAGTACGTGGCGTACAGGTCGGGTTAGACAGTGATGCAGAATTAGGGCGTACAGGTGCCTTATATGCTGCGGAGTGGCGATGGATCGATGCCGATAAAATACTCGGAGGTAACCGGCGAGAAGGTAGCGTAGAGTTAGGGAATCACGCTGATGAAGCTGATGAGCGGGCGCAAGGAGGGAAACGACAAGTTCTATCTATAGAGTTGAGGTACGAGAACGCTCGGTTTAGCGCTCTGCTCTTGTCCGATCTATCTGGAAACGAAGGTATACCGGGCTCTAATTATCGGCCCCCGTGGACGTGGCAGACGGATGATAATAGTGGCCTCAGATCAGGAGAAGATGGTCAAACAGCATTCTTACACTTGCCATTGCTTCTATTCCGGATGCCTGCACCTCTCAAATCTGTACTCATAGATTTCCTGTCAAACACTTTTGACTGCCGTGTTAGTCCCCTTGCGCTAGGCACACAGACGCTCGTGAGTAGTTGGGAAACCTGGTTGTCCGATAATTACTCCAAGAGAAACCGACATGTGCCGGGTAAAAACATTCTTATTACGCTCGGTTTTCACATTGAGCCAAGGGAGTCTAAAGGACAAAGCAGTGGAAATGAACTTGACGATACAAGTGAACAGGATCAAGGCCAGAAGCGAGACCTGCCTCATGTAGGCATAAAAACTATTGACGTCACCATTCCTGCCGCAGATGCGTACCGGTTCCTTCGCGTGGGTGAGAAGTTTGACAGCAAACCCACAACCGCTGTCATAACGGGGAAGCGGAAAACGGACGCACAAACCACTTTATCAGATGACCAGCAGAGTAGGAGGCGCCGGAAGCTCGCGGGCGGCAAGGATGAAGAGGGATGGGCATGGCGCAGGCAATATCACGGTAGTATCGAAGCAGAAGCAGAAAAGAACGTTATCAAGCAGCCATTCGCCGATGCCCTAGCCGCGTACATGTGGCACCACATTGGCCTGGATATGTTTCACCCGGGCGTTCGCGTGCAGCGAGTTGCATGTGACGGCTTTGCACTGTCTGAGGGGAGGCTCAAAGTATTCACCCCGGTTCGCGGGCATAGCAGCGATGCCGATGAGCACGAATCTTCCGCGTGGAAGCTAGTCCAAGGGTTGGTGCGGAAAGCTAAGGGGACGCCAAGCTGGGCTTCTGAAGCAGCAGCAAAGATAATAGGACAGCGTTAAGGTGTAAATATCTAAGGTAGGGACACGAAGCGTGACTTATAACCTAAGGAATCAGGAATGGTTGGTACAAGCAGAGATACCTAAAGTTAGGAACAGTTTATGAGGACGTGGATGGTTAATGATACCCTCGGATGTAGCATTGGTAAGGAGTCAACAGGTCAAATGAAAATTAATATATTCTTCAGTCTCGGGTTACATAGTTCACTGTGTCCCCTGCATCAAGAAAGAATAGCAATTATAGGAGCCCATTTGAAGCCTCAAGGTTGACAGCCAACTTGCTCTCAAATCGGCAACGATTACTAGATAAAAGTATCGGGACGAAAACCCCATCGTGTGATATGTGCGTTTAAAAAACTCGACTCCTTGCTTGTAGCTTGTAGTGCTCAGCATGTACCTATATACAGTTGGCCGCAGAATAATGCTGGACGTGGAATCATAACCCCCCCCGACCCTCCCTAAACCTGCCAATGGCTGCTGTTATATTCAACCAGCACATCGCCCTAATATCGAAGATGTACAAATCCAACAATGCCATACCTCATACAAGACCTAATTGCAAAAACCCCTTACGCCCAAAGCCGTTACACAATTTCAATCCATCAATGCACCCCGTCAACACCACCAAGAAATCTCCGTATGCGGCCGATCTCAAGTTCCCCCTTTTCGCTCTCCACGGCACGTAATAAGCCGTCTACGACGACGTCAACTTCGCTTTCCGACACACCGGTACACAGCGCTACTACACGCCGGTATTTAACTTCAACATCTTTGCTGCGGCCTTTGAGCGAACCTATGCTCTTCCGCATAGCATCTTTCCTATTCCTAAGTGCTTGTATACGTGCACGGAGGACCACGGAGTTAGGTAACAGGGCGGCATTCGGTGCCTCTCCATCCGCAGGCTCCAAAGCTGCATTGAGTTCTGTCTCCCAAGAGTTGTTTGCATCTAAGCGACCATAATTTTGTTCCAGTCGCATTAAGTGCTTCTGCTCCTCGTCACGACCCCGACTAAGGTTACTTATCTTCTGACGCGCGAGGGATTGTGATTTAGCAGCTGTTTGTAATGTCTCAAGCTGGCGTCGCGCATCTCCCAGCTGTGTAGACGTCGACCGCAAAGAGACATGAAGTGAATCAATATCCTGTTGCTTCTTTTTCAGTTCCGTTTGGAAGCTGTTAGAAGTCTCGTTCAGAAGGTGTGTGATAGCTAGGACAAGTTGGGATTAGCATATAAACGAATAGAACCCTTCTCCATAAACTCACAGGTGATAATCTCAGCACTGCTCTCTCGGGTCTTCTGGCAATTGCCACCAATATTTGCCTTGTCAGTCATCATCAGATCACCATTGGTCCCATCTTCCCCAACGTCGCCGCCCACTCCAAAGTCAACCGGTCTGAGGCCTGCCTTGTTAGCGATACTGGGATCTGCACCCACTTCAAGTAACTGCGAGATAATACTCCTATTCCCAATTCGTGCCGCGATATTTAGCGCGGTATCGCCGGACTTATCTTGCGCATTTACAATCTCGCTCATGAATCGACCGATGCCCATCTTCGGTTGGCTAGGGTTGCCGTTTGCTGCCGTGTTTTGGCTGCTCGGCGCGCTCCCTTGTCTCACAACCCACTCCAGAAGACTCTCCAAGTAGTATCTGCTGGAATGGCTCCTACCCTTCACAGCGCTTGTAACAGCAATATGATGCAAAACGGTTCGGCCCTTGTTGTCTCGAACGTCGATAGTGTTACCTAAAACGTCGAGCAATTCAGGGAACGAAACCTGATCTGAGTTATTCGTTACCGCCGATGCTCTCATCAAAGCTGTTTCGCCCGAAGCATTAATTCGGTAAGGATTCGCACCTGCCGATATTAACGCCCGCAAAAGAGGTATCCGAGCTAGCGTAGCGGCCCAGTGAAGAGCAGTATGACTCGATGCATCTATTGGTGCGTCGAGGTCCAAAGGTGATAGCGTCTGGAAAGCTTCATTTTGAGAGTAGTCAGAGGCGTTGGCATTAGGATCTAGGAAGAGTCCCATGAGTAGGTTGCGCTTCTGGTCTGCCTCCGGAGAGAGCTCAAAAGGTAAGGGCGGCAGTGGCACAATGTCGTTCTCATGTACGTCAATGCCGGCTTGAGAGTATTGGAAAGATTCGTTGGGCTCCGTAGGCGAGCCGGGGAAATTATTAGCGTACATATCCATAGAATGCGACGCATACCCAAAACTATCTGCAGGAGTGACAACCTTTTGACGTTTTCGCGACGGCTCTTCACCGTTGAAGATCTGTGTATTCTGGGTTGAATATGCCGAATCAACATGTTGGCCGTAATCGGAAGTAAAGCTCTGCTGGGAATTCCCCGGAAAGTCGTCAACATTCTGCAACGAAGACTGCCGACTAAAACTAGGTGGTCTTGTCGGACCATTCCGACCCCTCGGGGCGGGCGAATCGAAGCGAGCCTTGCTAATAGCAGCGACGGCATTAGACGCCGTACTCGAGATGTTCTTAAAGAAGGTTCCAGATAACCCATTGGCGCGATTGTCGTTTCCAGCGTACATGCGCTTTCTTTGCGCAGCCATAGCCTGCTCTTTGGTAGGAGTATTAATGTCTCCTCTGCCCGCGATGCCACCGTCCTGGCCCATGTCGTAGATTAAGAGAGGACGAAGCAATTCTTCAACTCCGTATTGACGGCATACCTCAACACCTCGGTCGAATTTAATCCAAGTGCCCTGATATTTCCCATAACCGCCTTGTACCTTTTCATGTTCGCCAGTCTGTATCTCCTTTTCAAGAATTTTCGTTCGCTTCCCTTTATCGATGTTGGCAACCTTGAGGATCTGAGTAGCATTTAACCAACTATCTGCGCGGCGGCGCATGACAGCAACCCCATTAACCTCCATTTCGTAGACGTCAGTGCCAGAGTAGACGGCCTATATAGATAAAGGTTAGTCCCTAGGGTTAAGCTAGACAAGTTGAAGTGGATATATCTCAAGGGGGATGAATATAAGGCGACTGACAGAATATATTTGCGGTGCATTATGGTCGTAACCGTGCCCATTTCCTAGCCTCATGTTGGAATCGGAAAACTGCCTATAGGGTTGAGTTGGCTGGCTCATGGTAAAAGACTGCTGCGATGCAGGCTGCGATTGCGACATTTTGGCGCTGTCTATAGCAGCAACTATGCCGCCGCTTCTCTCAGTGGAAGCTGGAAATTGTGACGACGACAGAATAGAAGACTGTGATTGGCGTTGGGAATTCGATAAAGCTTGAAGAGGGTTATTAGCTGGTTCGGCAGTAGTGCGTGGGATATCAAGCTGTTGATAATGATGCGAGATAGCGGTTGTTGCCGAGGCCATCAGTAGTAGAGTAGTAATAGGTAATAGCAGTACCTAATGTAGAGTAGCGGGTCAAAGTGGATTCGAGATGTGCAGAAAATCCCGGGACTCGTCGATGAAATTAAAGGTAGAAAAAAATCTGAGTCTGAGATAATATGGATCGTTAAGGGGGACAATGCGCCGGTAGCGTTGAAGATAGGTAGGTAGCGTATGGATATGCTCAGATGCTCAGTTGTAGTTGCTATCAATTGTCTCCAGCTAGGTAGATCCAGATCATATGTAGGCATGTACCGTACCTACTAAGGAAGGAGTTGTGCGATTCGTTGTAAGTTGCAAGGTACATAAAAGGTACCTTCTGATGCAATAAGAAGCGAAGGAAGGATCGAATTGACGACCAATTTGATGCTAGTATGTACCTGACTATGACAAGATTACGAAAAAGCTTGGAGGTGATGATATAGAATAACGGTTGTAATAATAAGAATTATTCCAACCTCGGACCAGTCGGCGTAGAATGGAGTGAGGTATAATCTAATATAAGGGTATACTGAGATGTATGTCAGGCAAGATGTAGAGATGCGAAGACACGGGTCAGATCAATCAGATCAATCAGATCACACTGACGCGCTTTTCGCATGCACTTTCTCGTTGGACAAGCCCTTGGGTAGACCGCAGGGTTACTCTCGCGACTATTTTATTAATTCCCGTTCCAGCCTCCGAAGACGCCAAAATTGGAATTCAATTAAAAGGTAGGAATTAGGAATAGTGCATTGCCGCGCGAAAAGGGCGAGCATAAACGGACGTGTCAGTTTCGTGTAATTGTGAAGCCGTGACTCGTGCCTGAGAGATGGGGGGCAGACGTAATAAAATAAAATAAAATAAAATAAAAATAGGTAAACCATACCTAGGCGAGACACGCGCGTATGTGGCCATTAAAATCGTAGAAATATGTACCCAAGGGAACTTGATGCACAGACCGCCTCTTGACATAATTAAAGTGAGGGGAGGGTAGTGCCCAAAATGTACCTAGGGTAGACTAGCTGACAAGCGAAAGTGTACATACCTAGGTTAGAAGGTGGGGTTTGTCTGATGAATTTAGCACAGATTATGTACATACATGTACATTATGTAATGTGTGTACATGAGGTACATGTAGCATGTCCATACCTAGGTACTAAGGTACCTATGATTGAGCTTACCTAACCTTATTCCCTTCCAGGCTCAACTGTCCCATTGAATGAATGTTGTATGTATCTCGGTACCTAATTCCGTCCATCTCGTCAACTTTTCTACCGCGATGCCTCTACAGATCCCCCACCCAAACACTCCCCTACATCTCTATCGACACCTACTTCGAGAAGCCACATACCTTCCTCTCCTTTGTCGACCATGGATAACTGACCGCATTCAATCCCGCTTTCGCGATTGTCGTCAAAAGACAGACCCCAAACCTCATATCAAAGATGCTCACCACTATCTCCGATACCTTCGTTCTGCAAACATCGGCCATGTCAACCGGATGTTGCGCCTATGTCGCCTAGCGGCAGGCAGGGTTGGCAAGCGACGCCGTATCCTAGGCAGGACTGAACTATCCAGTAGCCCTCCAAGCAACTCTGATGAACTAGAAGAGAGAATCACACTACCCAATGGCAAGTCGCGAGAGCCCGACTGGTTAGATAACTGGTCTGTAGAAAAAGTTATGGCCATCGCCACTTCACAAAGCCAGCAAGAGGGCAAAAACTTGCCTTTTAATATGCGCCGAACCGTCGACCCAAAGAAGGTCATCCCGAAAGAAAATTGTTTTGGTCGCCCGCTCACCGCGAAGTTGGCAAGGAACAAGCTAAAGAAACATTGGATATCGATTCTCCGCCAGTTACTACCCCCGCTACCCCGAGGAGAATGGGATCAGTTGGGTACTATTGCAAGAGGTGAAGCCGACGCTCAGTATTATAAGATGCCTCCAAGGAGACAAGTCGCGCAGCCGCTTTCAATTAGTCACGCCCCCCCAGAGTCAACCTGGACAGACTTTGTGACGAAACCAATACGATCTTTAGAACGAGGAAACTCGCGGAAGATGAAGAGTCTTAGCGGGCGTGAAGATGAGGATCCCCGAGGGCATGGGCGGCCCATTGGCATCCGAGTATTAGGCCGAAGGAGACTACGTCGCAGTTTATATATTGGTATTTGGCAAGCATCACCCATTGCAGAGAAGCATCCCCGATCGGGAAAATGGTCTATCACCTGGGGTAATAGCGAGCAGCCAGTTCCCCGTCCCAGAAAAAAGGATCTCCAGTTCTTTCAAGGTATCAATAAAGCCGGCGTACCTATATAGTCGGTGGGCGATTACTGCTTCAATCCCTTAGGTTCCCTCGCTTCGTCAATTTGCGTCCCCTGCGGCACTGTTGAAAAGTATGTCATAAGACAGATGTATTTTTCCTAGCCGGTTTACTCAGTCTAACAGGCCAGCTAACTTAGTTAAGGCCTCACCATCGACTCGCATGCCTACCCAATCGTCCATCTTCTTAGCTCCAATGGATTCGTAGAATTGAAGGCTCGGCTTGTTCCACTTCAGCACGCTCCACTCGAGCCTACCGCCATTTATTGCCACCATCTCCTTAGCCAACTCGACAAGAAGCTTCTTCCCGTAGCCCTTTCTCCGGTCCGTCGGCCGAACGAACAAGTCCTCGAGGTAGATACCTGCTTTTGATCGCCATGTACTATAATTATAAAAGTAAAGCGCCATGCCAGCTGGTTTATCTTCTTCGTTAAATAGAAGGAGACATCGCGCCGGCCTCGAAGGCGACGTGGACTCGATATTGGGGGCAGTGGAAGTTGATTCAACATTATCGGGAGCGAAGGCTATGGTAGAAAGAAGCGTGGCCTCGGTTGCTTCAACCGAATCCAGTTCATGCTCGTAGTCGGCCAACTCACGAATTTGTTGGAGGATTATCGGTACATCTACCGGAGGTCATGCAATCAGCTTTTTTTTTCCTTTCGCGATATATTTGGATCAAGTACTATTTAGCATACCTTCTCGACGAGCATGTCGAACTTTGCAGGATGCCGGTGCCATTGTAGAAGGTTAAATCGGCGACAAAGCTGAGTACGATACAATATGCCCTTAATGTAATGCGGAAATAAGACGCTGGCTGCTGGCTGCTGGCTGCTGGGCGTTGTAGAGGGGTAAAAAAGGCACAGCACCGAGTTTCGGGAACCCGAACCTTAGGACCTACATATTCCCCACAACACTACATACACTACATATGCATACCTAACCTTATTCAAGATGGCCGAATAGGAATTCACTATAAGATGCCAAGCAACTAAACAGTCTTAAGGTTAAGTTGTATTTTGCCCAAGTGTAACATCTCATGAAATACGAACTAAGACTTATAACACCATCTAGGCAATTCTACGTAGGTAGACACATATAAAATATGAACTAGAATAACTTCACTATATCATATCCTTTTTATGGTAGACCCAACGGACAAATAAGCCATTCCTACCTACCAGGTACTTACACCCGTACAGCTACAATGTGCCAACGGTATTAAAAACTCTTTGAAGATTTCTCGAGTGTAACCGAAAGCTGGTATCGAAACTACCTAAACCCCAACTAGTTAATGTTCCTGATCTTCAATCAAGCCTGTTGAACTACTTCGTACAGTGGATATTAATGATGTGAGGTGCCGGATAGGTACGAAATTTGTCACGTCAGACCGGGTTGATATGTCGTGATCCACCACGTTCAGAGCTCTCGCCAATCACGAAGCTTAGCAGCGTTGCAGAGTCGTCTTAACCTTTCTAAAAGCAACCCGCATTGTTTATAGATATCTTAAGTCAGTTATTACTATTATGATGCCATGGGCCATGGGCCAGGGTCGCGGGTCCCGTCATCCATATGCTTGCAGGTTAGTCTTTGAAGTAGCTGGATTGCGCACTTTAGACAGGCCAGACTAGAGAAATTTCCTCGCCTCTGTCTGTCTCGGCTACATCAAAAAGACTAATCATCATCTCTTCAAGTTTTCAGCACGGTTGGGCTTGTGCAAGATGGCCGAGAAGACTTTGGACGACACTCCAGGAGGCGGTTCTGGTGCCTCTGACTCTGAGATCACCGTTTTAGGGATCAACGAGCGCGCGCTGTTAAGAAAGCTGGACCTGCGACTCTTACCTGCGGTTGGGATATTGTATTTATTGTCTTTTCTTGACCGAAGCAACGGTATGGCTTGAAGTTTTCTCTTCGTGATCTCTGCTCTAGGTATCATGATCGCTAATTTGAACGCTATGTAGTTGGCAATGCTCGCATTGAGGGTCTACTTGATGACGTTCACATAAGTAGGCGTGCATAGAAAACCGATAGTCAGCTTGCCGCTAATCTTTCATATAGCTGGAAATCAATATCTTACAGGCCTAACTCTGTACTTTGTGGGGTATGTGCTGTTTGAGGTGAGACATTCGATAAATGCAATGATTCGAACGGCGCTATATTAATCAGGGGATAGATCCCTTGTAACATTATCCTCAAGCGCACAACGCCTAGGATTTGGTTGCCAACGTTGACAATAGTATGGGGCATCGTGGCAACTCTAATGGGCATAGTCCATAATCTAGCAGGTTTCCTCCTGAGTAGATTCTTCCTTGGTGTTGGTAAGTAGCAAGAAATCTTATAAGATTATCATATCATCATCACCTCCCGTGATACCGCCGTTGCTTTCCACGACAACTAACCTATTAACAGTATGTAACAGTATCTCTTATTTCTTTACCTGTTTGACTGTTCTACACCAAGAACATGAAGCTTCGGTATAGGCTTGTACTAAAATCGTGCACGAATACTCACATGAAATAGGCGGAGAGTGGTTTGTTTCCAGGGGTAGTGTTCTACTTCTCTATGTGGTACAAGAGGCGAGAGCGGCAATATCGCATATCCCTCTTCTTTAGCGCCGCATCTCTGGCCGGCGCATTTGGCGGTATCTTGGCTTATGTTTGTATATTCTCTACCACAACTCAGAAGGGTTCGGCGGCTAACTCGGGCATAGGGAATCGGAAGAATGAGAGGTATTGTCTGGGAGAACGGGTGGCGCTGGATTTTTATCTTGGTTCGTCATGCCGATACTCATAGCTGGATACTATGAGAGTTTCTAACTTAAGATACTGTATTAGGAGGGCATCCTCACGGTTGTTGTGGCAGCTGCGGCGTATGGATTTATTCACAACTACCCAGACACATCGAAGTTCCTAACTGAAGAGGAACGGAAATTTATACACGAGCGGTTGGCGGCAGACAGCGATTCTACGCACGAAGAACACTTTAACTGGGGAGCTGTAGTAGAAGCACTGAAAGATCCAAGCTGCTGGCTCTACGGATTGGGGTTTCATACGATGAGCTTACCTCTCTATACGCTGTCTCTATTCTTGGTATGAAATGCCCCGGCTTTGGTGGTATCGGCGCAGTAGCTAATTGTCTTATAGCCAACCATTATATCCAATCTTGGATACACAGCGGCAACAGCGCAGTTGCTCACCGTCCCACCGTATGCGTTCGCATTTATAACAACAGCCTCTGTAGCAGTTCTCTCCGAGAGACTTGGCCAAAGAGCAATCTTTATTGGTGGCTCTGCTATCTTCGCTGTTATTGGCTATTCTATCCTGTTAGGAAACAGTGATCCGGTTGCCAGACCCGGGGTTAGCTACGTCGGCGTGTTCTTCGCTGCAGGAGGTATATATCCGGCAAGTGCCCTGGTGTTATCTTGGCCTGCTATCAATGTGTCTGGTCAGACGAAACGAGCGATTGCGAACGCTATGCAAATTAGCATCGGGAACCTCGGTGCCGTACTGGGTACACAACTGTACCGTTCCACAGACGGACCTAGGTTCATCGTGGGCCACTCTGTTGCCCTTGGGTACCTCGTCGCTAATGCGGTTGTTGTGACCATTTTAGCTGTAAGGTTAAAGAAAGAAAATAAGAGGCGGGAGGAAATAACAGAAGAAATAAAACACGTAGGGGAAGTAGCAGATTGGCAGGGAGATTCAGACCCGAGATGGCGATTTGAATATTAAACACATTAAGTTTCCGAGGCAGCCAAATCGAACGTGTTCAGAAGAATATTTGATTAATCGGCTTGGTACGGCGGGAGGAAATTATAAGCAATACTAGAGCCAGTCACTCAGCTCGGCTTCCATACTCGTACAAGTTAAGAAAGGACATCTACCCGCTGGTTATCTATAAAGTAGTAGTACAGTGATATGATCTCCTCAGGTATATACTTGAATATCTCACTGCCAAAGCAGCTGAAATGAAATCCAGTGTTCTCTTGCTAACGGCTGAGGCCTGATAATCGCCTGAACGCCGAATTCTCCAGAATCGGGAATTCACCTTCCATCTGTATATCCTTTGCCTTGAACTGATCCTTATATCGTCCCATGGCCATTTCTGTCAAAAAGCGTCCTAGGTCCTGCGTAGGGCTCCAGTACGTCTTGGCGCCATACCTCATCGGTGGCCCTAAAAGTGCAAAAGCAGCCTTATATAGGGGCGTCTTGACTGGAATGTAGGGCTTGATAGCATCGTGATTGGCGGCATCAATAAATGCTGGGCGAATTGAGCTTGCATGAAAAGATGGGTTCGTTTTGCGCATCTCAGCCAGCGCCAATTCAGTCTCGCCCTTAACCCGGGCAAATATAGCAGAGAACCGGCCCGGCTGTGTTGTTGCACCCGTCCCAGAGACGTAAACGAAATTGAAGGGTTCCTCTTCGGAGCCTAGCTTCTGAAAGGCTTCTGATGCCGCCAAAGTGTAGTCCTTGGTGATCTTCACATATTCCCTAAGATAATTTGTTAATGCGATAAAAATGGCAGTGAGGATCTTGTCTTAGGTAACTAACTCGGGGCTGACTTGTGTCTGACTGATACCTAGGGCCCATACGCAACCCGAAGCTCCCTTGAGCTGAGAGAGTAGCTCGGAATCATACTTCTCGAAGTCCTTGTGGAGAATAACACGAACCCTAGGGTCCTTGACGTCCTCAACCATCTTGACAGGCCGGCGGCTAAGAATAGAGATCTTGCTGACATCCTTCATTTTGATCATGGCATCGAGAACGCCGGAGCCTACCAGGCCAGTGGCTCCGGTAAGTATTAGATGCATGGTGGTCGAGTGCGAGGAATAAGTATGACAGGGAAGAAAAAGATGGGGATTAGTTAGACACGATAAGGTCAATATGTTAGGTTAGATTCCTGTAGGTAACGATATTCTGTTGGTGTCGTATAACATAAGAGGCACGGATTTGATTCTTTTAATGGCAGCAACTGATAACTGACTCTGATTCTCATGTTGTGCGTTTCTACGAAGGCCACGGCTTTACTTATAAAAAAAAATCTAATAAATCTAACCATGCACACCCATGGCTACCCATCTCTCCAGACTCTGGAGATTATGATTTTCAGCCCTACGAAGGCAGCTTAGAGCTGACGCTAGAAGGCTTAGACATGATCAAAGCGGATGAGTGTAAGCGGATTTAGTGCACATAAACACTAGCCGTGCATTAATCCCGCGGACGTCGTATGGAAATATTAAATCCGATGGCTTGTTTCCGAATATGAATTCGTTTCATGACATAAGGTCGAGTGTTATATTAAATAGATAAGTCGTGAGTTAGATTTGGCTGGACAGCCTCTATGTCTAGATGCATCATTTGCGACGATACTTGAAGTCTTGTGAATAGTGAATATAGCAGCAGTAATGTAAATATTTATCGGCGAGCAAGTGTAGCAACTAAGAGCTGTGCATCGCTATATGTATAGTGTCGAATTAAAAATGATTACAATATTTCCAGTCCTGCCCAACGAAACTAAGAAATGTGTTTTCAGTTAATGCGGAAAATAGCATCTACTGGTTGAGTCTTTGCTTATAATGGTCATTCGAATCCTGTTACGTCAACAGATAATAAGCAAATATTAATTGAAGAAGAGAAACTGTCTACTATGTAGCGTCACATATCTCACTAGTTATGAGATAGGTCATGAGATAATTTGACCCTTCGATTGAACACGAGATGGTGTTCACGGACTTGGTTGCCGCGATAGGTAGTTGATAACTTGCAGGCAACTTGCAGGCTTCAATTATTGCAGCTTCTACATAACGCACGTGGCTTTAAACCTACGCTATGTTTCCCTATGTAACTATCGGAAAGGAAAAAGAAAAGGAAGAAGGAAAAAAAAAAAAAAAGGTCACATAGGCTGCGTGGCGGTTGTCTAGTAATGCAAGTTAGGGGATTGACATGCGCAACCGTTGGCTCGATCGCTGATTCGCCTTTGGATATGTGGTACGAAGTAAGAGTTGGTAGTATTACTATTACCTACTGCAATTGATGCATGCTCTGGCCACTTAGATGTGGTAGCTCAGCCCCGGATTCGCAGCTGTATTACATACATTAGTTTGGTTGAAATGGGTATGCATTCGACCATTCGACTATTCGACCATGTATGAACCGTAAGGCCAGATGAGGAATGTGTCAAGTAAGCAGTCAAGCGAGGTACGATTACAGGAACCCTGACTAACTCTGATCGACCATGAGGCCAATCGATCTGCGAGATTTGGTACAATGGTAGCATTGCCCAGAAAAGTCTAGTGGACATTGCAGGACTTAGTAATTCTAAAAAGTCCAACGGATCGAGGTTTTCGAAGTGGGTGGGACAGTGTGATGTAGGTGAATTGAGAGGATGCGATGGTAGCGACAGTAGCAACGGTAGCGACGGTAGTGAATGTGATGGCAGCGTATCTTTGTTCCGGTTTGTTCCCATAAAGCGTGATTTTCCTTCCAAGCTTTCCCGACTGCGGAATATCTGACATCTATAGTGCCTATTAATTACTATAACTAGTATTGATTAAAGAATAAAAAACGGGAGAGCACAAAAGAGAACTTATAAGAGACATTTCTCATAGGACCAATTGCCATCACGTGATACAACTTTCATTAAGAAGGGAACACTCGAGCTCTTAATATCAGGCAAGTACGGATTACATACATGTACCTCCAATACATTATGTACACGAGGTACACTACCTAAAGTATCATACATACATACCTAGGTACCTAGGTACCTCATATCCTTGACTCTTTACTCTTGACCCCTGACAACAACTAAACAAGGTGCGGGGCCCCAAGACAACTTCTACATACCGACCCAACAACCTTTAGACCCTCCAAAAAGACTCCACGATTCCACAATTCTACGATTCCACCACAACCCCCGGAGATTAAATTCACTTGGTACTAGTAGTAGTGTTAGACGCGTTCAGTCTTCCATCTCGTCATACCTCCGCAACTTCTATGGCCTCCTCTTGTCTGCCGTGTCCCCATGTCGGATCGAATGGCGCCGAAATCTGATACTGATACAAGAGAAGAGGAGCGCCTTGCCGCCTGCTTCAACTGTAAGAAATCCAAGCTCAAATGTGTCCGGCCTACCGGGTCCTCAACCTGTACGAGATGCACCCAGCGCTCGATTCAATGTTCTGCGCCGCTCTTTCACGTAGGCCGACATAAGGGGGTCAAGAAGTGAGTCGCAGCTATTCGTATTTCTGCGGATTTGTATGGCACAGCCTAGCTAATAGCTCCGATAGCAAGCATTCGGGGCTAGAAAAGGCCGTCTTTCAGATCGAGCAGGCCTTAAGAAGGTCTAGCTCTGGCGCTTTGGATCAGATACAGACGGCTGATCAAGCTACCGAATTACGATTCCTGCTTGAGAGGAGCCGAGAGATTTTAGGTAGTGACAATGGATTCTCCCGGCGCATATCGTCCCAGAATGGTATAGAGCACGATCAAGCGTCCGTGTCTCCCCAGCAGACATCGACTTCATTAGGAACATCACCTTCCCAAACGTGTTCGCGTGACGACTCGGCAGTGCACACTAAGGTTGAGGAAGACCAGTTAAGTCTGGACGATGCTGAGAACCCGTTGCAACTGCTCGCCCGGACGTCTGAGCTCCTCTCATCCATAACACCACATGTGCAAGGGGCCAGAGCAGGACGGCTACTCTCCAAATCTACATCCAATCGTGGTATGGCTGGGGAGGGCGACGATCTACAGAAATTCTTCGGTCGTTTCCAAGCGCGACTGGATGTTGGCGAGGACCTTGACCCTATTGAATTGGGACTCATCACCCTCTCAGAGGCTGAAACATTATTCTCTTAGTATGAGCAGATCCTTTAGAAACTAAAGAGCTTCAGATGATCAAACTAACACCATCTCAGCTTCTACGAAAAACTCGCGCATACGCGCTGGGGCATTGACCCCGTCATACACACCGTAGACTTTGTTCGAGGCCGTTCAGCTTTTCTGTTGACCTCGATAGCTGCCGCATCAGCACTTTTCTCCCCGTCTATGGAGTCATTATATAAAAGACTTTCAAATCATCGGCAAAAGCTCGCCAGTCTTATCATGGCGAAACGTTACAAGTCCGTAGAGATTATTCTCGCATTTATGGTCAATATACCATGGATCTCGGCCGGTGAGCATTGGGCCGACGATGAAACCTCGACCTACCTTTCCATGGCCCTGACGATCGCCTTGGACTTGTCCCTGAACAAGGTTATACTACCTCCATCCACGGAGCCGCGAAGCCCGAGGGACACTATTGCTACATCTGATTGCATATCTGGCCGAAAAGCGCTTGGCATAGACGGTTTTAGCGATATTGATCCCGACTCTCCGAGGGGTCGCAGGCTTCTGAGAAGAAGGGAGAGGACTTGGCTGTCTCTATTTGTTCTTGAAAGAGGGTAACGAAACACCAAGGCCCTGCTTCAAGTCAACTAGCTAACCTCGTTCCTTTACTGTAGTGTCTGTCTCGCTAGAGGAAGGAATTATGTCCTCCCAATGTCGCCGCTTATCGAGAATTGCGACCAATGGCACCTAAGCGACCTAGCTGATAGATGGGATGGCTCAATTGTCTCGGTGGCGGTTCTGAGGAGAGATTTGGTAATACTCAACCCTTGCATAACAGGTATCGATAGGAGACTTACACCACTTGCTAGGCAAATCTGATCTCAAAAGTAAGATCAATATGTGACAGTTATGTCAACGGCAATAGCGAATTATCTGTTGTTGATAGGTATGTTTTCTTACCCTTATAGTTAAGAGCGGTGCTTACCGAGATGCTACGTTAAGAGTAAAAAATGAAATCACCTTGTTCTTCGATCGGTGGTATCAAACTTGGCCTTTGCAATTAGGGGATCGCGAGCGTCAGTATTTCAACTCCGAGAAGCTAATACGTGCGGTCTGGTTAGCTAAATTTAGCGCAGAACTTTCGTTGCCTCCGTACGTCGAGATTCTTGCATCTCATACACGGTTATCCCTATACAGTTCTGTGATTAACCACGGCACTGCGCCTGTAGGAGCACGTCATTTCTTCCGTGCCGCTGGTCTCTCGTCTGCGCTGAATGTCTTGCGAGTGGCTGTTCAAGGTGAAGGGCAGCTTAGATCGATGCCCAACAACACCGCCATCATGATATCATTCGCTGCGTGCTTCGCCCTCAGAGTCAGCACGGTTGCTGATGGTCGAAGCTCAAGTCTGGCACCCAGCATCAGGGCTCTAATAGCAGAGACTACGGATGTGCTAGAGAGAATAGGATCAACCCCAATCCAACGGAAAGGCCTTTCTTGTCTATTTGCCGGACAGTTGAGACAGATACTCAAGTACGCATCGCGCGCTTCAGAAGCAGCACAGGCTCTACCGGAGCTGAACGGAGACGTGACGAAGCACGCCTCCATCTATACGGATTTGAATGCCGCTCACGTGGCAAATCATCAAGGGGCGATACAAATACCGGTGGTATCGTCAAGTTTACCACCGGACTATTTATTATTCTCTACCATGTCTAACGAAAACCAGCTAGACGAGGCCATCCACAGCACCGACATTGGGCTTAATGCGTTTTGGGAGGATTTCCAGTTCCAAAGTGCTGACTTGGACTGGATGGACTGGTCAACTTTCAGCACCTAGATGTAAAAATTCCATGTATATCGTTTGGGCAGCACGGCGTTTCGGCGTTCGCGGATTAAAGGGGGCATCAATGTTAGTGGAGTTAGGCACGGGACAGGAGGGCATTTGGATAATATCGGTTCAATGCATTGTCTATTATTGTCTATTGTGATAGCCTTAGTCTTCCCAACGTTTCCAAGGTAAGAGACGAATCGATCACACCCTGCTAAGACCCTTCTCGCATAAGATACCACAAAGGGTGGCAAGGATTCGTTGATTAAAAATAACGATGATCTTCTGTTTACTAAGGAAACTAAGAGATTCCCAACCGTTATAAGTATTATGAGTTTCTAGAACAGTATTCGAAGGTCCGCTACGATGCAGCCTATGTAGAAGCATGTCATTTTTAATACTCCGGTATTGCGTGTGCCCGATGTGACAGCAGATATCACACACGACAGAACTGTTGAGGCCAAGTGAAAGATATCATAAGGTCCCTGAGATTGTGAGATATCTGGCTAAGCAAAGCTATTGGTTAAGTTAACGACCATATACCGCTCCCTTGCCTTCGATCCCACACACATACACACACATACACACACATACACACACATACACACACATATACACACACGCGTCCAGGGGCTTATCGTGCAGTAGTTCCGAGCAATCATAACTTTGGTCAGCCTTTTCAAGCCTTTACTATACTCTGGGCATGCAGATTTGTCTAGGTTAGTAATGAATGAATAACTCAGACCTTGCTACATTATGTACTTACATAGGTACCTAGGTACTTAGGTTAGGTAGGTACGGGCTAGGACTAGGGAGGTAGAACACGCCCCACGGCTTCAAAAGCCCTCTCGGCCGTATATCAAACTCCGCACATAATACGTCCCCCGCAGCCACTCCGCGCTGCTAGTGTCAGTACAATAGTACAATCTCTTGAATCGTGACCTCTTATCCAGTATGATCGGCTTACTCTCTACCAAGACAAAGGCTTACCCCACACGCCAATTCGAAATGGATTCAATGCCCTGCCGGACCCCCTGGCTTCTCCCCAACTCTCACTAAGAGTACTAATGTAGTAGTAATCTAAATCCCCCGCAATCTAACTGGTGTCCCGTTCAGGCTTGCCAACTTGTTCTCCCAATGCCCTGGTCCCGTATTTAGCTGTTGGTCGCGAAGCTTTAAAGGTTTGGTGTTATACGGTGTTCTAAACAAAGGACAAACTACCCAACCTTCTTCCTCTGGCTTCTCGCTTTTTTCCCCCGGAGTCGTAACTTGGAAAGGAAGAAAAAGAAGAAAAATCTATACGATGTCGTCTTCAGACAATGGCGATCTGCCTAATAAGGCGACGGTAGAAGAGCTCGAGAAGGGAAGCTCGGTGCATGTCAGTTCTATAGACAAGGACCTAACGCGCAAAATCCTATGGAAATTAGACACAAGGTTCCGTCATACCCTCCCTTTTCGTATTAACTACCTTCTCCAGCAATGGGGAAGAAGGGTGTTCAAACGCGTACAATAAGATCCCTTCGTCTAACCGCGACTAACTAGGATTTTGCCCATCCTCGCCGTTCTGTTCCTGTGTTCGTTCCTGGACAGGACCAACGTAGGAAATGCGAAGCTCTACAACCTTGAAGTAGACCTTGGTATAACGGACCACCAGTATGACCAGGGCCTTGCCGTCTTCTACGCGACCTATATTCTGAGCGAGATTCCGAGTAATTTAATTCTCAAGAAGCTTACGCCCCAGATATGGTTGCCATGCCTGACCTTCTTTTGGGGCGTGTCCGCCATGTGCCTTGGATTTGTTCAGAATTTCGCCGGCTTCGTGGGTGTTCGTGCACTGCTTGGGTTAGTCTACATTCCTCGTGTTTAAGAAGGGCCCAGCAAAGCTCCTTTGCGTTTCGGTCATTTTCTTAGCCAGAGCAATTCTTATTATATACAAATAGCCCGTCGCTTAAAATAGGCAAATACTGACTCTAAACGATGCAGACTGACCGAAGGTGGTTTACTACCAGGAATAGTGAGTGAGATAACATCTCTATAAGGAAATCGTGACTAATAAGATATTGCAGGTCCTTTACTTGTCCACCGTCTATACGCGAGGCGAACTCGCCTTGCGTATTGGTATCTTTTATACGGCCGCATCTTTATCGGGTGCTTTTGGAGGCATGTGTCTCATTCCTCACCGTGGATTGTTGTACGCGAGGATCCCATCTAACAAACACCTTAGGACTGCTGGCTCGCGGAATAGCTGAGATAGGTACTCGAGGCGGTCTCAATAAGTGGAGATGGATTTTCGTGATTGAGGGTTTATTCGTGAGTACCGTTAGCAGCCCTGTAATTGGAAATCGGCAACATTAACTCTTCTGAAGACCGCCTTGGTCGGAATTGCCGCGTATTTCATCCTCCCTAACGGCGTTGGATCGGCGAAATTCCTCAGCGCAGAGGAGCGTCAATTCGCCGTCGGTCGTCTCAATGCTGCTAGCCAAGGCGATGGCGGCGACCGCGAAAGGTTTGTCTACTTCAGACTAACTAGTTTCGTGCGGCATTATATTGACGAATTTCTAGGGAGGCTACTGAGAAGTTCTCCTGGTCCGAAGTAGGTCGCGGCGTCTTCAGCTTGCAGACCTGGTTCACAGCCTCTGCATACTTCGGCATCCTCAGTGGACTTTATAGCTTTGGGCTTTTCGTAAGTAACCGCCAATATTCTTGTTTATAAGAGAGGCATTCTAATGGACAACGGTTAGCTCCCGACAATCATTACGGGCCTGGGATATGCGGCGGACGAAGCTCAGCTGTGGTCTGTCATTCCCTACGCGGTAGCCTCCGTGGTTACAGGTGAGTTTACCACACGTACCCTTGGCGCTTGAGCGTCAAACTCATAGAAAATAGTGATAACTTCGTTCCTTTCCGACCGCTTCCGCGTTCGAGGGGTAGTCATGCTCTTTTCGTTGCCGCTGGCGATCATAGGGTATGGCGTGATTGCGAACGTGGACAATGTTAAAGTCAAGTACGGCATGACGTTTCTCATGGCTACTGGCTTATATAGTAGTGTGCCGCCTGTTCTCGGTTGGCTCTCAAACGTAAGTATCGCCCCGGAAATACCCCACAAGAGCAGTATCTTTCTCTCATAAGACCACTGTTAACGGCTCATACCCGGATTATCGTTGTTCTCGCGCTGATAATAGATAATGCAGAACTCGGCTGGCCACTATAAGCGAGCGACGACGAGCGCCCTGCAGCTTGCTATCGCAAACTGTGGTGGATTCGTCGCTGTGTTCATATATCCGAAGGCCCAAGGACCGGCATATCGTGAAGGCCATACCATTATTCTAGGGGTATTGTGCGCTGGGTGGTTCTTGTAAGTACTCTCGTCGTGGTGAAGTAGACGACCGTCTAACGAAGTCCTAGAATCCTCTGCAACGTGTTGTACTGCTGGAAGATCAACCGGGATAAGGCGAATGGCAAATACGATAAATACCGCGGCTTCGGTGATGACCGTGATCCTACATTCAAGCTAGTCTTATAGGCAACCAACAACCAACAACCTGGCTGAGGGTGAAAGGACGGTGTTTGCGTATACGATTTTTATGAGAAGCGGGTGGCGGTATCGTTACGGTACCTGGTACCTGGTATCTGCCTCATAAAACCAAACCAAATCAAATCAACACTCAATTCGAGTTAAGTATGAAGGAAACACGGTCCTTTTTTGGGTCCTTCCCATAGTATTCGACTGGATACCTCCGAGGCCCCCCTGAAGTATTTATATCCGTGACTATCGATGGGATATGTGTATAGGCGGGTTATACAGGCATGGGCATAGAATTTGGACGGCAGGTTTCTATGGGAGTTTTGAACACACTATTTCAAATGGTGGCTATGAGATATGAATTTATAATCGTGAAGCTTTTAGTAGAGTGTTGACGTGCTGTTCTGTTGGTGATTGCTTCGTTGTTGAGACGGTGTTGATTTAGGTATGTTTGCGACCGGCTTCACAAGTATTACCCGAGAGTTAAAGGCTAGGGCCAATGGATGAAACCTTGGTTACCTAGGTACCTAGGTATTGTACCTAACCTACCCTGAATTAGCGGTCCGATACGGTGAGATATACCGTACACGGGTAAAAACTAACCGCTGTGGCTAGGGAAATTTAGGTTCTACATACATGGCGTCGGCGGTTCTTGAATTACCGAACCCATTCTCCCAGGGATCATTACCGCGGCATTCTAAAAGCTTAGCTTCAATGCTAAAGCCGCGCATCTTAGGCCCTAGAGGATAAATTAAATACTTAACTTAATTAGCACATTAATGACGTCGGATCCGTCCCTGATCGCTATAAGCCTTTAGAAGACGAACGCGACAAACGGCAACGATTGGATATTATTAAGCCGAAGAGGAATGCCCGAATACATATTAACTTCTTTTATTATTTCCTCTTGACCTTTTACACTATTCCGCGCAATTACGGAAATAACATGTCGAAACTTTCAGAGGCCGTCAAGTCGCTCATCAACGCCAGCCATGCGCGGCCCGGCTACACTCCCTCGTCGGCAGGTGTACAGACTGTCCTCGCAAAGTTCGCGAGCGACGCTGCCGAAAAGAAGGTCGGATTGCCGGCTTGGGTGACTTTGTCGGTATGTTTTGCCGTGGTGCTGAAGCATGGGAAAATGGATATAAAAGGGGAGAGAAATATTATAAGAAAGACCAAGAAACGAATAAACGAACAAACGAGGAATCAGTTAGCTAAACATGGATATTTACTATTCTAGACAGCCGTCTCAGCGACACTCAACTGCCCCGAAGCCATGACGCAAATCTTCCACCTGGCCAACTCGACCACAACCACCACGACCGACGAGCAGCGCATACCCGTTCAGAATGCCGAGCTGATCCGCGAAGTCGGGCTCAAGTGTATCTCTTTCAACGGCATTCCGCGCAGCATCAACACGCTGGGCGCATTCCGTAATAGCCTGCCCGCCGATGTCGCCTCGTTATTGAGTACGACTCCGACGCGCGAGTTGACGCCATCTAACCTCGAGCTTCGCAAGCGCGACGGTCTCGCCCTCTGGGATAGCGTCTACGTAGGCTTCGAGCGCAAGCTACTCGACAAACTGGCACAGTCGCACCCGGATCTGCCCGTCCATATCCTTAACGGTCACTATTCCAACCTACTATCAAACCCACGAGGCGTAGATGCTCCCGTGAAAGTCGGTCGCGTACTCACGTCGCTTGTAGCTATCGCGTGCCTGCGCACGCAGACCGGCGTCGGACCTCAGGTTGTCTCGCACATCTTTGGTCTACGGAAGGCGTACGACAACGGTGACGCGCAAGCCGAAGGCGAGGAACCTGTCGAGGGCGGTGCATGGCTGGCTACCGAGGACGGCAATATCTGGATATTGGAGAATATTGATAAGTTAGTCAACGTGATTAGCAACGGCCAAGGAACTACATTTGCGCCTGGGTTACGGGCCAAATTATAAGGGCATAACACGCAGATAACAAGTCAGCCAGTAACGTGCTCGTCGGGGGAGGAGAGGATATGTAAATGAAGTTACGAAACTGTACAGAGGAATAAGAGCTTGGGTCATAAGCCAGTATTCATATAAGTCTGAGAGATAGATGCCAGGTCGTCTATATATCTCTATATATCACCATATAAGCAGTGTATTTATACATAATACAAGTTAATAGGTAGTGTCCGTTTCCATGCGCAGATACGCATCGATCTATATACAATAAATATAAACAACTCGGTGCGAACCATATTCCGTCTTGAACTCGTCCTGTTTGGTATCATCTTGTTGTCTCACCCTCTTACACCTCTATGCTTAGAACGTCTTCAGATCATCTGCAACTATAAACTCAGCATCGGTCTTAGCCTTGACAGTCTCAACTTCAACACCTTCCGCAATCTCAGTAAGCGTCAGACTACCTTTGGTGAGATCAACTTGGAACACAGCAAGGTCTGTGATGATAGTGCTGACGACGCCCTTGCCAGTTAGGGGCAGTTTACAGTCCTGGACGATCTTGCTGCGGCCTTTTTTATCCACGTGTTCTGTAGCCACGACGATCTTGGTTTGCTCTGGGTTCGACACGAGGTCCATGGCGCCACCCATGCCCTTGAAAACACGACCAGGGATCATGTAGTTAGCCAGGTCTCCAGACGCAGATACCTGGAAAGCGCCCAGAATTGACACATCAACATGACCGCCCCGGATCATACCGAACGACTCAGCCGAGTCGAACGTCGCTGCTCCTGGTAACAACGTTACCGTTTCCTTACCCGCATTGATCAGGTCTGGGTCTGCTTCTTCCTCTGTTGCTGGGTAGCCGCCCATGCCTAGGATGCCATTTTCCGACTGCAGCCATACTTTGGTATTCTCAGGCAGGTATGACGCCGCCAGCGTCGGGATCCCCACGCCTAGATTGACATAATAGCCATCCTGGAGCTCTTTGGCCGCACGCCTAGCAATGCGGTTCCGAGCATCAAGCGTGCTTGGTTTACCCGAAGTCGGATCCTCCTTAGGTGGCGCTACTTTCAGCACTTCGAAGTGCTTGGCCGCCGTGGCCGGCACGATGCGGTCAATAAAGATGCCCGGAAGGTCGACACTGTCCGGATCAATAGACCCGATCGGTACGATATTCTCGGCTTCAACGATGGCAATGCGGGCCGCCTTAGCCATAAGGCCTGCATACGTCTTGGTGGTGTATCTATGAGACGCGTGTGAATATTTTATAATATGCAAAAGTGACGGTGTAGAGAGAAACTCACTTGAAAACACAGTTGCCTGCCTCGTCAACCTTCCAAGCGCGCAGGACCGCTACATCGCCGGGGAGAGCTGTCTCCATAATGTAGGACTTCCCATTGAATACCCTGGTCTCTTTGGGTTTGCCTTTTTCGAGGACAGCCTCTGGGGTGAACCTCACGGGTATCTCGCCAGTCTCGACGAACGTCTTCCCTCCTGTCGCTGTATAAAAAGCCGGTATGCCAGCCCCAGCTGCTCTCAGTTTCTCGGCCAGTGTGCCTTGCGGACATAGCTCGACAGCTATTTTCCCCGTTAAATATTGCTTCTCGAGCTCCTTATTCGACCCCAGATAGGAGAGGATAATGCGATCTAGTCGTCCGTCCCTGGTAAGCAGGGCTAAGCCGTGGTCACCGGAGCCAGCATTATTCGACACGGCCGTGAGATTTTTGAGACCCCTTTTATGTATAGCCTGAATGAGGGTTTCTACGCGTGTTACCAGTCAGCCAGTCGCTCATTCAAGTCAATATTATCAACGATATCCACGATATCCACGATAGCTCGGACCAGAAACTTGCAAAATCGAGATGGCAAAGCCCCCATCCCCCATCCCCCATCCCCCACCCCCCAAAGATTGAAGAAGCCGATCATTTAATTTAGCACATACCAGCAACGCCACACAACCCAAATCCAGCACTAAGGACCACATCGCCATCCTTCAAGTCCGCGACGGCCTCGTCTGCAGACTTGAAGACCTTTGAGCCGCCCCGTGCCGCTTTCGCGGGTGCCTCAGCCGCGTAGGACCGGTATGATCTCCAGAGGCACGGCGTGAATCTAGAGCTAGTTATAGTAGCTGTAGCTGTAGCTGTATAAATACCGGATTGTCGTCGCGCGTGAGGTACCGCCCATCGATGTGAGAATTGGACGGAAGCACGAAGGGCAGCACTCCGGGGCCGCGCCATCTTAGAGGGGTGGAGGGGTATGTAAAATGTAGGAAGACTCTTTCTTGAGAGGCCAATGTTCAAAAGACCATTTGTGTTAAAAAAAAATATTAGGAATTTCTATATCTCAGATCTATTTACAGAGTTTCCTGGTAATGTATGAGTAACTGATCCATTGGTCGGTTGATTGGTTTTATTTTATCATGACGAAATGGGCTTGCGCCGAGGTTCGTTTCCGATGCTCGCAAGTTACTCTGGTCGGCAGTTGATTTATGTCCGTACATCTTTTGTCGCCGTCTATCTTGCTTCAACTTTCCCGAGGCGTCGGATAAGTCTCATGCGAGAGTGGATAGGGGGGTTCAACATTTACTCGCGGCTGACTTGTAGGAAGCTATTCGAATGCTATAGGGACATCAGTAGGTAAGTACCTGTCAACATCAGATGCGTTACCATTTAAATACATTCCAAGTTATTGACGCTTAAAAAAGCCGGGATACTAGTATACAGTAACAACAGTAACAACAATAACAACAGTAATAACAGCGACTAGTTATCCTGATTAAACCCATCTTCTTCGACGAACTTTTTTATGAAAAAGCCGCTATTTTCATATAAACTTGTAGAATCCAATAACTCCAATGGCAGGAATCAAAAACGAAAAGGGGGATCAACAAGACTCTATGAAGGTATATCCAACTCCTGTGCAATCTAGCAGACCCTTTCTAGGCTATTTACTCCCCCATGCCATGCAATGCGATATTAAAATCAGTGTAATGAGAAATCATATATGCGAAAACGACAACCCCGAAGGGAAAGAAAGCCGGGAAAGGGGGCACTCTGGTTCCAACTCTCACTGACGCCCAACACTCTCTACACGAATACCTAATTTGGCGAGCTCGTTCGCATCAATAATACCCTTGCCGTCGAATACCCATTTTGGCTTGTTCATAGTGAAAGAGATTTTGCTCCAGTCTAACTTCTCTTTAAGCCTATCCTCGCTTGAGTTTCCCGCTGTGGAATAGCCGCTTGTCTTAATCAAGCCACAATCGGGACAGTCGCTCTCACACGCTGGCTCTGGTCTATATCGCCTCAAAGGGTCATTGTCAGGGTACGTCCCTGCAGGCGCAGCATGAAGAAAGTACTTGTGGAGTGATAATATATCCGACTCGGTAACCTTATAAGCGAATGGTCGGGGGTCAGCTTTCTTTGAAGGGCTTGAAGGAGGCTTAGGCTTGTCTGTCCTAGCCGGGGTGCTTCGAAACTCATCGAACTCGGTTGTTATTAGGACGGCATGGCTGCCTTCGCAGGCGGTATAGGC